GAACTGTTTCTAAGGCCTTAAACCCAACAGGCACCTGTCTGATGAAAGTGTGGCCTGTGGTGCTATTTGGAACATGTTACAGTCACTATCACAGGGACAGCCTTGCTCTGTTACCAATTAGGCCAACTTCTATGCTCAAGGTCTGCAAGGATAATCTGATCAGTCCCGGCACCTTATGAACTAAAGCCGCAGGAAGGAAGGGACAATAGGTAGGACAGAACCTGGCCCCAGCTGGCCCCCTGCTGCCGAATACAAACACTTCCAGAGCACACTCCACGACAAGGTAACAGAGGACCCGAGAAATGTCACTGGAAGGGACACACAGAAACAGTCACTGGACTGTGTCTGCCAACTGTGATTTGGTGCCTTGAGATTTGTTTGTTGCCTTGAGATTTATGCACCAGTGTGTCAGCCTAGCAGCCCACAGGGAGCGCTTTCAGAAGCAAGTACCTTTCCCCCCTGCTCTCCCGCAGCCCAGCAGCCAGCACACACACAGCACTGCAGCCAAGGCCAACTCATGCTGTGACTTGCTTCTAGAGCTCCTCCCCATAATGCTAGTGTGCACATGCTACGCCTAGGAGTTGAGGGGAACAGTGAGGAGTGTGTCCTATAGCTCTGCCATAGCCCTGACTCCACAGCCGCCCTTTAACCAAATTCCTAGAGAACTCTCATCCTCCTAGGGTTCTATACACAGTAGCTTCCAGCAAGCCCTCTGCCCCACGCCTGACCTAAGAAGGAAATGAGGCTTTGCTGCCCCCTGCTGGCCAGAGTGTGAGTGCACAGAAGACTGGCACTCAAAGAGGAGGGACCCTGCAAAGTCACATCACTCACTCACTCTGGTCAGCATAGGGGAGGCCAGGGGTCTAAAGAGATACAGCCATTGGGCTCAGAAGCCTGTCAAGATGCCTGAGAAGACCTTGTGTGTGCATTCTGGGTTTCCTGCGCTGGAGCTCTGCAGCCAAATCACCCAGCCTAGGGCTCCTAATGACTGGTTTCCCACCCCAACTCCTGGAGGCCTTTGCACCCAGCAGCATGCTGACCAATGGTGACCAATAGTGTTGGCCCCACATTTCTCACGGCCTTCATTCTAGAAGCCCCTGCCCTTCTCTGCTGCAGGCCTTGCCCACATCGCAGCGCTAGAGTCCACATGATAGTCTGGAAGTGGATTGGGCGTATTTTCTGCAATCTCCCAGTGTGCAGAGACAGCAAGGTGGAAATAAAATGTGAAAATGTGCTTGTGGACTTTCTCTTTACAGCACACTGTCAGGTTTTAGCTTCATGTCCAAGGCAAGCACAGGCAGATGACAGACGGCATGCTGTGACCATCTGCTAGGCAGTGTCATGCCCAGGCTCACCGCACCAGCTCAAGCCGACTACACACCAGGTAGCACACAGTGTGCCGAATGGAGTGGAAAAAAGAGTGATCACTGGCATCTGCCACAACACCTTCAACCCCTGCCAAAAGAGCAGGCAGCGAAGTCGTAAACCATTTCGCATGGGGGTTAAGGATCCCACAGGGAAGATCCTTTAGCCCATAGGACTAAGTTGAGTTTATTGGCTGGGGTTGGGGAGCAAGAGGTGAAGGCACATAGGTCAGGAGCCCCACAGCATAGCTGCAGAGGCCAACCCCTCCTAGAAGGCAGCAATCTTGTCTGCCACAGGAAGGCGAGCTCAGGGGAACAGGAGGAAAGCTGGTTTCCAAGGTACACACAGAAAGATAAAATGCCCCCTCAGAGCACTCACAGGGACACAAGCCTGTACAAAGATAGGGCAGCCTCTGCGTGCGCATGGTAGTCATGGCAGATATCTATTCTCCTCAGGGCCATACCAGTTATTATAGCCACCTCACCCTGGGCGGGAAGTATGGAGTTATTTCTGACTCAGTCCTGGGTGAGGGTGAGACACAGGGAAGAGGTGTTACAATGACACATACAGAAAAGTACCTGCAGGCATTGCTTGTGCCTCTGAAACCAGCAGGTCACTGAGCAGACTGTGGGGGCAGATCAAGTCCTGAGTGAGCGTGTATTGTTGACATGGGCTCAGCCATATCAAGGACCCCAAGGCCTCAGAGCCACAGAAATGGCAAAGTCTGCCTCTGGTCCAAGTACAGTGTTTACTGTTGACCAGTGTGTGCAAAACCTACCAGCTACAGCTTTCGCCTCCCAGGTGACTGCAACGTGAGACTGCTCCTCTACAGAGACCCCCTTATGCTAGCTAGATTGATGCATGACACAAGCTAGAGTTGTCAGAAGAGGGAGCCTCAAATGAGAAAATGCCTCCCTAAGAGTGGGCTGCAGACAAGCCTGTGTGGCATTTTCTTAATTAGTGATTGATGGGGGAGGGCCCAGCCCATTGTGGGTGATACCATCCCTCAGCTGGTGGTCCTGGGTTCTTTAAGAAAGCAGGCTGAGCAAACCATGGGGAAGAGCAAGCCAGTAAGCAGCACCCCTCCCTGGCCTCTGTATCGGCTCTTGCTTCTAAGGTTTCTGCCCTGTTTGAGTTCCTGCTTGGTTTCCCTCAATGAACTACAATATGTAAGCTAAACAGACCCTTTCTTCCCCATGCTATTTGGTCATGGTGTTTCATCACAGCAAGAAAAACCCTAAGCCACCCAAGTTCCCAGATTACCTAGGTGTCCTCCATCAGAGCAAGCACAGCCCACCAGAGGCTATTGACTCCAGCTTTCATGCACATGTGTCTGTCCTTTCTTCATTCCTGCATTGTCCCAGTCAGGTTTTCAGGACAAAGTCATGCAGGATGCAGCAAGAGACTGAGTCATGGACATGTCCTATGCCCACTTTGACACAAGTCAGGGCCCCCTCCACCTGCCTGGTTCAGGGACTAAGCTGGCCAGGAACAGAAGCGGCCTGCACCAAGAACACAGAAGGCACCAGCGAGTGGAAAAAAACATATGGGGGGGGGGGGGGTCTGAGATGTAGCCCTGGGACACTGGGAGAAGTGGGCTTTGAGCATTTTAGCTAGGAGGGAACAAGCTAAAGGGCTAGGTTTTCCAACTGCAGGTCCCTCTCCACATGAGGCTGACTCGGAAAGAACTGCAGGCCTTGCTGTGTCCCGCTGTTGCTGTGCTACTGGGCAGAGGAAGAGCCAGGTCTATCTACTTCATGAGGTGTAACATTCACCTACGTCTTGCCTAGAGTTAACTGAGTTAATGCGGGACCCAAGGCTAGAGTAACAACTGGAGACACAACCAGTCAGAGGGGTCCCCAAGGAGGCGGGGGCTGACTACCGGACAGGTGATACAATACATACACCAGGAAAACTATAAAGGAGAGTACCTGAAGGCTCAAGGGACCAAGGTTGGCTGTAGACTAGATGAGTCCTGCATTCAGGAGCACGTTCTTCTGGGACATCCTGTGCCCCAAACACATGCAATGAGGCAAGACTCATGGGCACGGAGAAACAGGGCTACTCTTTGGCCAGAGCTATAGATACATGGTCCAAGCTAAGGGGCCCTCCCACATTCCCCAAACCCATCTCTGCCTCACACTAAAACTCCAGTCCATGACCCTCTCAAAGAGGCAGGACATGGGAAATACAAACAACTAAAGGGGCCGAAGGCCACTCTAGAAAAGTTGTGAGAACTCAGATGTGATTCATCCCTTATTTGAGGTTTTATGTACATATATGGGTATGCAAATTTTTAAAACATCCTTATCTGAAGGGTTCAATCAGGTACGATTAACTGTTAAGTTAACCCTCTTGAGAAAGTACTATCAAGTTGGGGCAGGTGAAAGGGTTACCGGTGGCTCCAGGGCCATCCAAACAACAGGGCTTAACAGAGATGCTAACAGGAAAAAGATAAGAGAGAGTTGAAAGGGGCAACACCATGGTAAGGCCTGGTGGTCAACCAAGTTCTTCAGGGTCCAGTTAGCAGTACGGGTGGCCTTAGCTCAGCTGAAACCTAAGAACATCTCACTGTCCCTAAGAAAGGCATACCAACTCCACTGGAGCTATCTAGCCTGGTCACCTTGCTGGGCCTGGCTCAGGAGTAAGGAGCAAGGAACCAGTGTTTCCCGAATGCCTGGACCTTTCTAGATATGGTAACCTTAGTCTCTATGAGGTAGGTCTTGTCACCATTTTATATACACCAGGACCAACAGTTAAGATGTCAATGGTAGGGCCAGGTATGGTAGCACATGCCTTTGATACCAGCACTGGAGAGGCAGAAACAAGTAGATCTCTGGGAGTTCGAGGCCAGCCTGGTCTACAGAGCAAGTTCCGGGACTGCCAGAAACCTACACAGAGAAACCTTATCTTTAAAAAAAAGAAAAAAAAAAAAAAAAAGAAAAGAATGCCTACAGTCACAATACTTGGCAGCCACAAACCCTACTTGTTTTCTGCCTCCTTGTCAATACATAGGCATAGTGTCAATTTTGCACATAAGTTTTATCTATTGTAAGAGTGCTTAGGGATGCATGCTGAGGGATTTATCAATAAAATGCCAAGCAGTTTGAAACTTGCTTCAAAAGTACTTAGGCATGAGTACCAAGGGCAGGCAATGGCACATGGAACTTCTCAACACTATTCTTTCTACTTCAGTGTATTTTAATTTTTTTTCTGGAAAAGTAACACTTTAGTCTGTCCTGCTTTGAGATGACAGGGTCTTTCCAGTTTTCTGTTCGGTTTGGTTTGGTTTTTCACGACAGGATTTCTCTGTGTAACCCCAGCTGTTCTGCAACTCACTTTATAGACCAGTCTGGCCTCAAACTCAGAGGTCCACCTATCTCTGTCTCGAAAGAGCTAGGATTAAAGGTGTGTGACATCACTACCCAGCTAGCCTTGTCTGTCCTGGAACTCAGTATGTATGTAGTCCAGGCTAACTTTGAATGCAAATCTGCCTGTCTCTGCCTCCCAAGTGCTCGGATTAAAGGTGCGCACCAGAACATCTGGCCTATTATCTTTTTAAAAGCACAGGCTAACCCACAGGCAACAGTCAGGCTACCCTCTGTACTCTCACCTCTCCAGAGGCAGGATCTCACCTCTCTTTAGGGATATCACACTCCTCTGGTCCAGCTCCAGGCTCTGCACCAAGGCGCTGGGGTCTATCTGTGTCCTGGCAAAGATGTCATTTTGAACCAATGTCCAGTCCTGCAGTTCCAACAAGAGACAACATCAAGCTGACCTTCGGTTTCAGAGTCACACAGTGAGAAGATGCCAAAGCAAAAATCCTTGACTTCTCAGCCAAGGAGGCCCTGGGAGAGTTTCTCAGCCTGGGGGGCCCCTGTGTCCCTGTTCCCAGATCAGGCCTGTACCTAGGCTGCTCCCTTCTGCCCAATCTACTTGGGAAAAAAAAATCAGAGCAGCCGGGTCTACCATAAAGCAGAGGGGAGCCTCACTGACACAGGCACTGAGCCCTGCCTCCTTGCAAGCCTATGCAGATCCAGGAGTAGCTGAGAAAGGGCAGCACTGCTGTTTTCAACTGCATGAGTAAGCCCTCCCAGGGATGAGCAGAAGGAGACCCTCAAGGAAAGAGCAGAGGGAGTCCTCTAAGCGCGGGTCCTTGGCCACCTGTGAGGACCAAAACCAGGGATACCAACCACGTAGCCTTTCAGCAGAGAGGCAAAGACACAGCTGGCCAAGGGGCCTTAAGAATAACCTCTGTCAACACATGGCTTAAGCTTCAGCCAAGATAGCAAATGAGGAAAATAAGACATCAGAGGCTACACAGCGATGGGAGGACGTAGGAAGGGATGGAAAGAATGCACAGTTTATCGAGATCAACAAACAAACATGCCTGGGAGCCAGGCCTGGTGGTGCATGCCTTTAAAATGGCTCAGTGGGTAAAGGTTCTCCATCAAGGTTGATGACCTAAGTTTAATCCCAGGACCCACATGGTAGGAGTCCTACACCATGGCATTCCTGTGTCCAGACTGATGCGCACAAAATAAAAGTAAAATATGGAATACTTAATAAACAACCAAGTTAGTACAAGAACTGAATCCTTAAAGCTGCAAAGTACATTTAAAGGAATAAATGATCTTGTTTTTATGAACTGAAAAATCAAATATTCTTAAGAGGGCAACATCTCCTAAATTGCTCTAAATACTAGATAAAACTCTATCCTTTATCTGGCAAGAGAGCTCAGTAGGTAAAGATAATGGCCATCAAATTCCATCCCTGGAAACCACATAATAGGAGAGAACTGACTTATCCTCTGTCCTCATGTAGACACAGTAAACATATATAAAAATTATAAAACAAAAAACTCCACAAAACTTTTTTTTTTTTTGCAAAAACTGACAAGAGACCCAGCTAGAGACCCAGAAGTGTCATATAAGATTCTATAAAAGAAAGAGTTTGAGGATCTGTATCTCTAGGGTTAAAATATACAAAACTACTCTAATCCAGGCTGTGTGGTGCTGACATAAAGATCAATGGAACAAAATCAAGAGTTAAAGCTAGCCAGATTTTGGCAAATACCAAAAATACCATTAAGTAGCTGGGCGCCCTCCAGGATATATTTAACTCCTAAGAAATCTCATCTAGTTGGCCATGTGGGGCATGCCTTTAACCCCAGCTCTTGGGAGGCAGAGGCAGGTTGATCTCTTCTGAGTTTGAGGCCAGCCTGGTCTACACAGTGAGTACCAGGACAACCAGGGCTACATAGATAGACCTCATCTCAGGAACACAGCAGAAAGGAAGGACAGAGAGAGGGAGAGATGAAAGAAGGGAGAGAAGGAAGAAAGGAAGAAGGGAAGCAGGATCTCAAAAAGGAGATGGTAGAGTTAAACACTTGCTGTACTTTCAAAGAACCTATGTTTGGTTCCCAGAACAGACATGGTGGCTCACAACTATCCCTAACTCCAGGGGATCCACATCCTCTCTGGCCACTAACAGTACCAGGAACACATGTGGTGCATGCACACGTGCACTCAAAACACACGCATAAAAGATTTTTTAAAAAAAAATCTCATCTGTAAAACGAAATTGTGTCAGCTTTACAGGCGTGTAATACACGGCACACAGCAAATGCTTGAAAAACACGTTTTAGCACTACTGATGGAAGGCCATCAGTCCAGAGTATAGTGGAATGCTCTCCTTCAGCGATGGAGCGCTTCTGGAGCCCTACACTTAAACCGAGAAGGCACAACGGCTAAAGGTGGGCCGGGTCAGGACTCTAACTAGAGTGGCTAGAACCCACATAGAGGAGGCGGCACTCCGGCCCTGCAGGACCCCGGCTCTGTGGGGACCCCAGCCATTCAGGACCCCGGCTCGGCGGACACTTCAGCTATGAGGAGAACCCAGCCCGGCAGGGTCCGTGCTCTACGGAAATCCCGCCCAGCAGAGACCCGACCTTGGCTGGACCGGCGCCCAGCACCTCACCTTTGCCCCTGCTACGGCCGCCGAGGCTTGTGGGAGGGCCGGCTCCAAAGCGCGGGGCACAGAGCCGGGTGCAGCCTCCCCGTCGGGCCTCACGGCTGCCCGGTGAACACGAGCACGCAGCGCCCTCACTTTCCCCATCTTCGCAGGAGGTTTCCGCGGGATAGCAGAGCTGCCACACTAGAGGAACCGCCTTCCGGAAGTGCTCCACGCAGGGCGGAAATAGAAGCCAAGGCTTCGTGGATTGCGTTCAGCCAATCCCCGGAAGTACCTCCCGTAGCGCGTGCGCGGGTGCGGTGCTTACGGCGAGTGCTTCCCCTGTAGTGTTCAAATACTTTGAAGTGCGCCAATGTTTTTGCTACAGGATGCTTACTCTTGTAAAGAGCCAGGGACATAAAAACAACAGAAGCCTCGGGTGCATGTTACGAGAAACGCCATGTTTCTATGGGGCAAGTCTTGGGCAGACTAGGGAGACAAGTTCTTGCGGGGGGCCTTGGCCAAGTGGCCTGTTTTACTCATGCGGGTCTCTTATTTGTGCAGTGTTGCATCTCTTCCTCAAAACAGGTCCTGGGAGTTGGACCGAGTCGTCCACTTAAATGTGAACCAGATGGCGAATGACTTAGAGGCCAACATCTTCCTTCTTGCACAGTCGGCTCCGTGCCCAACAGCCCCTGTGCACCTGTTAGGCCCAGCAAGAGCCTAAATATAAGAAGGTATGAAGAGAACTCAGGAAACTAATCATCCATCGATGCAAAAACGCAAGAGACTCTTCTTGACCATTGTACAATGGGGTCACCCCTGCTGGTCAGCTAGGAGTGGCACCGGGAGACAAAAACCTTAGGTTTTTAAGACACAAGGCGGGAATCTCCTGGGGTTGACTTCTTGGCAATTTAGGATTGGATGAAATGTTTAACTTTTAAAATAATTGGTTAGTTCTGGTCACCCTTAGGTCCAGTCAGCCCTGTCGTAAATATCTGATCTTCAAGTCAGTTTGGAATTTCCTGCCATCCACAGTTAAATGTGGGAGGGTGATTAACTCATCCCATGTCTGTTCTGAGGAGTGGGGGTTACAGGCTTTGGATCAAAGGTCAGGAGAAGGATTGGGGCCATTTGGCCCAGTTTCCAAACAAAGCCCATCTCACCGGCGATTTTTTTTTTCCATTTAGTAGAGATCTCTGCTTGTTCTCTTTCTTATCTCTGCCCTCACAGATGGCTAATGTCAGGAACTTTTACATTCCTCGGTTCTCTGGAGAAGCACTAAAAGGCTTTAATTAACATGGGCCTAAAACTTGCAAATATAAGTTATAAGACAATTAAAAGAAACATAGGTTACAAAGTTAGTCTGATTCTTTCACACCCAGTACCGTATTGCTTTGGAAAAGCAGGGCAAGGATGAGAGGTGATTCCAACTGTTCGTTAAAATGACACCTGTAAAATAAAATGCAAAACAAAGTGGTCTATGGTTGGGGCCCGGAACGGAAAGCTCGACCCAGGCACAGCCAGGGTAGTGGCCTTCCTCTCCTTTTCTACTTACAGTAGAGGGCGTCCTGGATGCCAGGACATCTCTGCTTAGGAGCCACAGTGAGCTACAAAGCCCACAGCTTTATAGGGAGAGCCAGGTGGCCCTCCCAGAAACACACCCACACGCTCAGTATCTGAAGTAGGTGAGCAAGCCAGAGGAAAGGAGACAGTAAGCGTTTTTCCTCTCTGGTTTCTCTTCAGCTTCTGCCTCCAGGTGCCTGCTTGAGCTCCTGCCCTGGTGATAAGCCTGTAAGATATAATGAACACCTTCCTCAAGTTGGCCTCGATACTTTTCACAGCAACAGAGAGCAAACTAGAACAGTGAGGGAGCCGCTGCAGGCCACTAGGATGTCCTCATGGCTCCGTTTCCGCTCGAGGACTGGGGTCAGAGTGCTACCTGGGCATTAATAAATTATCTTGGAAGGGGTGAGTGGCCTCTTCGGTCTTCATATACTCTTTGAGGAGCCTGACTACAAGCCTGCTTGGAGATGACCTGGGAATAATGTTCACTGAACTCTTCACAACCTGGCTTGTCTCCCCTGAGGACCTGGGAGCCAGAGCCACCCTGAAAGCTAGCCTGGCTTTTACCTAGGGCAGGCCCTCTTCGTAACTTCTTTCTCCTTCCCACGCCTCAGCAGTGTTCGGGTCCTGTGTTCTGGGCTGACCTCTAGGAGATGAGCTGTTTAAGGCCAGTTCCAGAGCCAAGGAATGCAGGAGTTAGTTAATTCCTTGGACTCCTCTACTTTTTTTTCTGTCGCTTGAGGGCGCTCGCGTCCCGCCCTCCCCTGGCTCCTTCCTGCCAGTAGAGAGCACTGCACTATTGTCTCCGGGCTGGCCCCGCCCCTCTGGCCCTAGAACAGGCCCTCGCTCCTGGTCCACCCGACAGCCTCAAGACGAGTGGCTGAGTGTAGATGTGAACCACCACCCCCACTCCCCCCGATTCATCCCCAGTCCTACTGCCTCCTCTGCCTGGCTTTTTTTGGGGAGAAGGGCCCTCTTGAGCTTCCCAGAGAGGTGGCCAAGTTGGCTGCGTAAGAGCCCAAGTCTGCCTTGCCTCGGGTGACTTGGTCAAGGCCTGAGCTTCCCAAGCCTCAGTTTCCCTATTTCTATAATGAGGTGGACGGGGTCGAATGGGCTGCTTGAGGACTGCGAGTAAAAGGAGAGGGAGGAAGTGCCTGCTGGCATCTGGAGGTCCTAGGTTCCCAGGGCTGGGCAGGGAAGAGGCCCAAGAGGGTGTTGCCATCTAAAGGGCAGGCACCAAACCACAGGACCCGCAGCGCAACACCCAGCGGCACCTCTGAGGTTCCAGGACCTTCTGGTGACAGAACCTCAAGAGCAGAGTCCTAAGTCTGGCTCCGATCTTGCATGCTTGGCCAGCTGCTCTAGGCAAATCGTCAGGGAAGCGGCCTTCTCTCCTTCACACGTTCCTGGGGAAGGGAGGCCTAAATCTTACCTTAACCCGGTCCACCTGCAAAGGACGCATATTTCCCTGCAGTTCCTCAAAGTCTGGTAATCAGAAAAGAGCTGAGATAGGGCAGGCCTGAGTAAATATCCTTGTGCTGTGACCTCCCAGTCCGGCTGGAGTACGGCTGCCACTGAGTCTCTGGGCAGAGTCTAATCAGGAAGGGGCCTGGTGCCATAGACAGAGAGAGAACCTCTGAGTAGTTGTTACCTCTGCCCTAGTGACCTTTGACTTCTGGCTTTGTTGTTGATGGCTGGATTTAAAGCTGTATTTGGGTGTGTTCAGTGATGCTTGTGGTTAGATTCCCTCCATAGCTGAGATTTTCCTGCTGCCTAGGGTGACCTCCCCTCCAACTTGGCTCCCGAGACTGAGGCAGCCCCATTCTCTTTACACTCTAGGGGAGGAAGGGCCGGCAACTGGTCAAGGGTGTGTGTTCCTGCCTGTTCTTCAGAAAATGATGCGGTGACACCCAGGGCGGTTCAGAGGAAATGAGCAAGGGAAAGACCCATGTCACAATTTCAACAAAGTGCCCAGCACTGAAGGGACTGGAGACCTGGCAGCCCTGATGGCCTTGTCCTCAAGGGTCAATTACCGGACGGGCCCCATCCTTTCAGCTCTGACTCTTTTCCCATTGAGTCAGCCTGCTGGGGTAGGTAGGCCTGGTTTCCAGGGCCTGAGGGCTTCTGTGAAGTTGATTTATAATAACCTCCTTACTTATAAAATGGATACATAATTATTTTTAAAAAATTGAAAAATACCAAGAGTCAGCTAAAAGTTGACACCTCTTGGATTCCATTGCCCAGAGCTACAGTGTGGCAACCCTGGCTGGCTCGTCCAGGGTCTGGGTGCCAGATCCAGAGCTGACTACAAACACTGCTATTATCTATCTTTAGATCTTTACCCCAGGTCAACAAGGCCATTGTGTTTACATTCTGTTTCTGAGCCCCAAGCTGGTCCAGCTACCACCAGTTTGTTTACTTGTTGTTTTGTTTTTTGAAACAGTCTCTCCTTGTAGCCCTAAAACTTGCTATATGGGCCAGGATGGCCTTGAACTCAGAGATCCATCTGTCTCTGCCTCCTGAGTACTGATATTAAAGGCATGCATCAAGCCGGGTGTGGTGGTACACGCCTTTAATTCCAGCATTTAGGAGGCAGGCCGATCTCTGTGAGTTTGAAGCCAGCCTCATCTACAAAGAGAATTCTAGGACAGCCAAGGCTACACAGAGAAACCTTGTCTGGGGATGGGGAGGAAGGCATGTGCCACACCCAGGTCACGTATTATTATTCTTTATACTCCATTTGGGGGGGTGGCTATTGGTCAGTCCCTCTCGGAGCTAGCCTCCTACCTAACACTAGGGAAATGCAAGAAAGTGGCGGTGGCATTTGTATTGAAACTTTCAGAACTAAAAAGTGTGAGTTGGGCAGGGGATGGGTTCAGGAATGATACCAGTGTGTTCAAAGATATGAGAGATGACTAGATTTGAGAGAAGCCCAGAGCCGGGCGTAATGTGAGTATGGGTAGGCCTTCCTGGTATCCAGTGCAGGGATGGTGTGAGAAACAGTCTCTCTGTGGTTCTCATTGCTCAGACTCTCAAGCTAATCCTTCTTTGGGGGCAGCGAGGGGAGCTGCTTCCCTTATCAAGGCCTCTAGACTCCATGTTGCCCTCGCCTTGCCCTCTTGCCCTCTTGCCCTCTTGCCCTCTTGCCCTCTTTTCTTGGGGAAGGCCGAGATCTGACCACTCCACATCCCGAAGATGAGGGTAGTGATGGATTAAATAAAACAGAATGAGCTAGTGGCGAGACGAAGCTATATTATATTAATACAGATTTATTGGGAGCAGCAGAGGGAGGGGGAAGGAGGGTGCATGCTGGGGGGGAGAGGTAAGAAGGGGGGAAAGGGGAAATAAATAACGGAAATGGGTCTGGATTCTATAGTGGAAGGGCCTCTGGGAGAGAAGTCCCAGCAGGGTAAGGCAGCCATGCCCTGCAGCAGGCAGGGACTTTTAACAGGTAGACTAACTTGATTCCTCCCATTAAAGAGGCTCACACAGATCCAGAAAAATCAGGAAGAAATATCTGTGTAAGTTCAGATGAAACTTAGTGAGCTACCCAGGGCTAGTGAGGTCATGGACTACAAAAGACCTACTAGACCAACCTAATTCCTTCCTACATTCTGTCCTTATACCCACAAATAAGTGTAGCTCTCTACCTTCATCAAAGAATCTTCTTTGCCTCTATATATGTATGTGTGTGTGTGTGTGTGTGTGTGTGTGTGTGTGTGTGTATACATATACATATACATATATATGAGAGGGGGGCCAGATGGTGGTGCACACCTTTAATCCCAGCACTCGGGAGACAGAGGCAGGTGTATCTCTGTGGGTTCAAGACCTTCTAGAACAGCCAGGGCTACACAGTGAAATGCTGTCTTGAAAAACAAAACAAAATGAAAATTGAGAGGGAAGATGGGAGATGGCATGGCAGAAATTGGAGGGGGAAAATGATGTAATTATATTTTAACTTAAAATATGTTACATTAAAAATTGGATTTTTTTAAGCTCAAATGAACACTTTCCACTCCACAAACAAAAAAAAATCAAAAGTAATTTCACCATACTCCATAATCTCTGATCACTTGGGCTGAATCTCATCCATATCTCCCCTGTGAAACACACACACACAGTGTGAGGGATGGAACCCAAGGCCTCACGAAGCACTAAACATAATCTCTACCCCTGAGCTGTACCCCAGTGCCCCATTTTGGATTAGTGACATCTTCACATGTTCTGAGCATCTGCTGTGAGCCAGGCCTGTTGCAGGAGCCTGTCACGTGGCCCCAGTTGTCCTCAAATGCTGGCAGTTAAGGGAAACTGAAGCGTAGAGAAGAAAAAGGCTTGGAGTATCCTCAGGGTCTGACCCACATGCTTGTAGGCCATGCCATGCCCTGTTGCTCCCTCAACAGCTGTGACCCCCAAGCAGACAGAGGAACAGAGAGAGGACCCAGAGAAACATGATTGCAGAAATCAGGGTGAGGAATGCCTTTGCTTTGATGAATAGAGTCAGGACCTTCAACTTGGCACTCACCGGAGGATGTCAGCTAGCTCCCTTCCTACATTAGTGGAAACCGCACACTGAGCAGGAAACAGTGGTTTAGTAAGAATTGGAAAGAGAAGTGACACAGGCCGAGGGCAAGCAGAGGTCTAACCTAGGTGGGGCCTGGGTTGGGGTTAGGGGCCTCCCATCTGATTTAGGAATCTCTGATAATCCCACAGATCAGCATGGCCCTTGGAGGGGAGCAGATTGGACTAGTGGGAAGGCATTTTGACCTTCATGTTTCAGTAATGAAAACGTTAGTTCCTCTGTTTTTCTCCAACCCCCATGCTCCTATGTTGCAGTTTGGTTTTTAATTTTTAATCAATTCTAAATATATATATCTATTTAGACACAGTTTCTCTGTGTAGCCCTGCCTGGATGTCCTGGAACTTGCTTTGTATACGAGGTTGGTCTACCTGCCTCTGCTTCCCAAGTGCTAGGACTAAAGGCCAATACTGCCTGGCTTTAATCTGTCCTTAACCCCTTTGTTATTCAGTGCTGAGCTAAACTGTAATTATATTTCTGTGTAAAACTTTCTATTTCTCCTACAGAGTTGATAATTGCTTAATTTTTTTTTTCTGCCTTGCTCAACCTCTTCTGTCTAAGAGCCATGGTTCCCCTCCTTCAGGCATGTCTGTAAAATGATTCTCAGAATAATGTCCGCATAGCCTAGCCTGTCCATCTCTAAGGAAAGCTAGGAATTTGGGTTTAGCAGTCCTGCGAGGGCCAAAGTCCTGATGCTCTTGAACACGGTGACATCTTTTGGTAAATCAAGGAAGCAAGAATTTGGCTTCTTCAGCTCCTTCCCACAAAGAGGAAGACAAAGGCGAAAGAGACTGTCTTGGGGAAAGCGGTTGGGTGAGAAGCCATTGTGGTCAGGACTGTGAGGGCATGGGAACAGCACTGCTTCTCCTGTCCTTCCTGTACTCATACCTGTCTGGGCTGGGATCCCCTTCTGTCTGTTTGTGTGTTTCAAAAGGACCAAGGAAGAAAGAGCCCAGAGCATACTGCACTCTGGCCACAGGTTTCCTGGGCCGCATCTCAACATATCTCTCCCAAAACAGCTCTTGACTGTCTTCTCCTTTCACCTCCTCCTCCTCTGCCAGCTCCGCCTCCCGCCCCTGGCTCACCACAGAGGGGGCCAGCACTAAATCTATGCTGCAAAAGGAAGTCTCTCAGGGGAAGGAGTCAAAAAGGAAGAAGCAAAAATGGGTGCAGGGCATGAAAATACCAGAGTTGGGCCAGAGGGAAACTTGAACGGGTCAGGAATGGGAGGAGGGGATTTAGGGTGGTGAGGGAGAGCAGTCTGTGAGCATTCTGTGATCTTCTGAGTGTACTGAAAGGACAAAGCGTGTCCTGCCTCAGTTCTTCCCTCCTGCTCTGTCTGCGGGCACTGCTCCCCCCTCCCCCACCCCGCCATCATGGGCAGGCTTGCTGGTACCGACCTGCAGTTCTATCCCACACTGTTCTTTCTCAATGACCCTCTGGCATCCCCTCAGCGTCAAGTGTATCACCTCTTCCCAGAATCCTACTTATCATAGTGGTAACTGATTGAAGTGGGGCTAGGAGGCACATGGAAGTGATTGGATGGGAAGAGAAAAGAATGATGCGGGCACACCCACACAGACAGACACCCACACCCACACACACACCCACACACACACACATACATGCACACACCTGCTCCTCTGAGACTCCCCATCTTCTACTTTCTTTCTGTCTTTTTTTTTTTTTTTTTTTTTTTTAGTTAGAATCTGACAAAGCCAAAGATGGTATTGAACTTCTGACCCTCCTGCCTTCATCTTCCAAGTACTGGGATTATAGGCATGTACCACCCCTGGGGCAATGCTAGGGACTGACTGAACCCAAGGCTTCGTGGATGCTGACCAAGGTCTCTGACCACTAACCTGTAACTCTTCTCTCTGTCCTGCTTCCTTCTAACTCTTGCCCGCCAGGCCTGCTGCTGACCTCCTTGCCTCTTTAACACAACTCAGTGTTCTATAGGGCCAATGGCTCGCCTTCTGTACCAGCGAGAGCCCTCACCCACCCTTGGTGGGTTTGGTCTCCTACAGGCGTGGGTGA